TTAAGACCGCTATCCTTAACGGGAATTTGGACGAGGACATCTATATGCAGCAACCATAAGGATTCATTGTAAAGGGCCAAGAGCATCTTGTCTACAAGCTGAAGAGGTCCATTTATGGGCTGAAGCAGGCTTCGAGGTCTTGGAACATTCGTTTTGACGAGGTTGTCCAATCGTATGGATTTACCCAATGTCTGGATGAGCACTTTGTGTAGAAGAAAAGTGATGGAAACGTGGTGGTGTTTCTACTGCTGTACGTGGATGATATTCTTCTCATTGGAAACAGTGTGAAGATGTTGTCAGATGTAAAGGTATGGTTATCCAAGCAGTTTGATATGAAGGATTTGGGTGAAGTAGGACATGTTCTCGGAATCAAGGTCATTCGCGACCGAGAGAAGAGAAAGTTGTGCCTATACCAATCCACATACATAGACACTGTCCTAAAGTGTTTCAACATGCAGGATTCCAAGAAAGGGGATTTGCCCTTTCGGCACGGAATACCTCTATCTAAGAGGATGTCCCTGAAGACGCCTCAAGATATAGAGGACATGAAGGCAGTTCCTTATGCATCAGCAGCAGGAAGCCTCATGTATGCGATGTTATGCACGCGACCTGATATTTGTTATGCCGTGGGCATGGTAGCAAGATATTAGAGTAATCCAGGACCGGAACATTGGTCTGCGGTAAAGCGTATACTCATGTACCTACGTAGGACTAAGGAGTACATGTTGATTTACCAGGCAGATGAATTGCTTCCGTTGGGTTACACCGATTCTGACTTCCAGGCAGACCGGGACGAAAGCAAGTCAACCTCAGGGTTTGTGTTTACTTTAGGAGGAGGAGCCATAGTACGGAGGAGTTTCAAGCAGAAATGGGTGGCAGACTCAACCATGGAGGCTGAGTATGTAGCAGCCTCAGAGGCAGCGAAAGAAGCTGTTTGGCTCAGGAATTTTCTCCTCAACCTTGATGTGGTATCGAGTTTGCCCGCTGCAATCACAGTGTTCTGTGATGACAGCGGAGCAGTAGCAAATTCAAAGGAACCACAGACTCATAAAGCGAGTAAACACATAGATCGTAAGTACCACCTGATACGAGAAATCGTTGGACGAGGAGAAGTCTTTGTTGCCAAGATACAATCAGAGGACAACCTAGCAGATCCTTTTATGAAGAGCCTACCGGCGAAAGTCTTTAAGAGACACGTAGAAGGAATGGGAGTCAGATGTTAGGGCAACATAGTAGACTAGTCTTTGAGAATTAGATTGAAAAAAATTGTGGTTATTTTTGTTTAGCCAT